GAAGGAATAAACATTGCATTGATTAAGAAATTATATTATTACTATGTTACTATTCAAACATTACCTGTAATTATTGATACAATGACAACATGGAATATCCTGACTAATTGTTATTGAGAACTGTCGGAAAACATTGCGAAATTCATAATAAAAACACTATATGACGTCTCCATGAGAGGGTTTTCTTGGAAATAACAATATTGTAAGTATGACTTTGCACATGAAATTTAACCCTGAAGATTGAATCTTATATTACAGATTATGATATGATTATAAAATCTATTGTAGAACATCAGCATAACTTCGTGCTGAAAATTGGGGGTCAAGATCTCTGTGTAAATAAATAAATAAATAAATCTGGGTAAATTCCCATATGATTAAACATGCAACTATTTTGCTGGTATTACCGAATTGAGTAAAGAAAATCAACAGCCTATTTATGCAAGATAATTTATAATTTTATTGGGGTTTTTATTTGGTTGGGTCTATTATCGGGGGGATCATAACCCCCCTAACCCAACCGCCCCAACATGCCGGTGTACCACAAGGCTGTGTGATGAGCCCTTTCCTCTACTCCCTCTTCACCCATGACTGCAGACCTGCTGATGGTTCCAACACCATCATTAAGTTTGCAGATGACACCACGGTGATTGGCCTCATCAGTGACAACGAGAGGCGCCTACGGAGGGGTGGATCGTCTGGCTGAGTGGTGCGACAAAACAACCTGCTGCTTAACACCGAGAAGACCAAGGAGCTCATCGTGGACTACAGGAGGAATGCTGACCCACATCCACCCATCCACATTAAGGGGACGGCTGTGGAGCGTGTGAGCAGCTTCAAGTTCCTGGGAGTCCACATCTCCGAGGATCTCACCTGGACGACCAACTGCTCCAAGCTGGTCAAGAAGGCTCACCAGCGCCTCTTCTTCTTGAGGACTCTGAGGAAGAACCACCTGTCCTCAGACATCCTGGTGAACTTCTATCGCTGCACCATCGAGAGCATCCTGACCAACTGTATAACAGTCTGGTACGGGAACTGCTCTGCCTCGGACCGGAAGGCGTTGCAGAGGGTCGTGAAAACTGCCCAGCGCATCGCCGGAGCACCACTTCCTGCCATAAAAGACATCTACAGGAAGCGGTGTCTGAAAAGGGCTGGGAAAATCATCAAAGACCCCAGTCACCCATCACATGGACTCTTCACCCTCCTGCCCTCTGGGAGGCGCTACAGGAGCCTCCGGACTAAGACCACCAGGTACCGGAACAGCTTCTTCCCCACAGCTGTCAGACTCCTGAACTCTGCCTCCTGACATCTGACCCACGTTAAACACATGGACTGAACATACACACACACCCACAATGGACAACTGTACCCTTAAACACACAATAATATGGACTGAACCACCACTCACAACCACCAGCACTTTATATAGCCTCTGTAGAAATTATCCACATATCTCACTTATCTTAACTGCACTACTGTATAGTTCTGTGTAAATAATCATTCTGTACAATACGATGATTTTTAATTCTACAGCTGTTTATAACCTGCATAGTTCACATTTCTGTATAACTGTATATCTCATATTTCTGTAAAGTTTTTCATATTTATATCCTGTACATAGCTTGTACTCACTACAGCCTGTACATTCTTATAGTTATAGCATATTCATAACATACCTCGATACCATGTACATTATAACATACCATAATAGACCCATTTCTGTAATATACTTACATATCTATATTATTGCTAATATATATTTGTAATATATATCTGTATCATGGCTAAAGCACTTCTGGATGGATGCATTTCGTTGCCTTGTACCTGTGACACGTGCAATGACAATAAAGTTGAATTCTATTCTATTCTAACCCCCCAGGAAATTACGCCCCTGGCAGAGAAACACTGGGGAACTAGAACTAATATTACTAATAATAAAGACAAGACTACAAATCTGACAGTCAACACCAGAAAAACCATTAAGTCATAACAAGGACCAAACAGTCAATACTAGAATATCTTATGAAGTATCCATATGTTTGAAGAAGAAAGCAAAAGCTATAACCATAAAACAAACAAACAACAACAAAAGTAGCTCACGCAATAATTTACCGATTACAAAAAAGAATCAAAATGAAACAGTAAGGTCAGTAGAAAGTTTCATCAGTGGAATAACAAAAGATTTTAGTGCTGGAAAAATATAGAAAATCATTCATGCAGCAATTCTAGACAACAGCTAACAAATAAATAGACATACTTTAAAAAGGTAACTAGAGTAGAGAACTACTCAGAGAAATAACAATTTTGGAAGTTTAGTTAAAGGTTTACATGAAAAATTCAAATACATGATAAAATAGTCAAAAATTCTAAAAATCTGAGCACGTTTTGGATATTTCAAAACATTGGTTATGGTTAAAAGAAAGAACACCCTCTTTCAGTTCTAAGGCGTTATATCAGAACATAAAAAATAATGTAGTCCTTAGCAGTTCTTAAAACGAGGTAAAAACAAACTCAGATGAATAAAAACCCGCCATGTGTCATTATTTAACAAAAACTAAACAGTTGAGGCTTGTAGGCATTCATTTATGCACAGCTCTCTTAAGGTCTCAGCACAGTATTTCAATCAGGTTGAGCTCTGGACTTTGACTGGACCATTGCAACACAGTGACTCTTTGCTTTTTTAAGCCACAGTGTTGTAGATTCCCTGCTGTTCTTTGGACAATTGTCCTGTTACGTGACTCAGTTTATAAAAAGCTCTAGCTGTCAAGAACATGACCTCACATTGGATTCTCTTTTATATCTAAAAGAGTTCATGGTCAGCTCAAAGACTTAAAGGTGCCCCAGTCCTGTGCCTGCAAAACAAGCCCCAATCATCGCCGCTTCACTGCTGTGTTTGGTAGTTGATATGCGGTGTTTGTGCTGATAATGCTGTATTTGTTCTCCACTTTGGTGTTGTCTCTCCAAAGCACAATGTTTCAAAAGCTTTGTGGTTTGTTCAGATGTGGCTTTGCAAACAATAGCCATGCTGCCATATTCTTTTTAGAGAAAATAAATGTTCTCCTGGCAACCCTTCTGAACAAACCATACTTGTTCTGTCTTTTTCTAATTGTACTGTCATGAACTTTAACATTCAACATGCTAAAAGAGGCCTGCAGAGTCTGAGGTGTAGATTTTGGGCACTTTGCAGTTTATCTGAGCATTTTCTGAGTTTTCCACTTGTAAATAATCATTCGATGGGCAACAACAACTGCTTCTCTAAGATCACTGCTAAAATCTTTCCTTCTTGACACCGTGTTAACGCACACAGACCAGCACACTGCCATAACTTTTATAGAGGTCCTTTTGGGCCTTTTGTTTGATTAATTGATCATCAGCAGACATCAAACTGAATAATTGGCTGCTCCTGGCTGCTACTTACCCTCTTAATTACCATGTACTCAGTGGGTGTGCTTATTTTTTCACACATTGCTTCTTCTTTTTAGCTTAACATGTGTTAAATAAAAAATAAAAGAATTCAGGAACTGTAATAAGCATGATAAGCCAAGGATTATCATAATCATTCTAAACCCAAATGAAAAATTTTTCACTTTGAAACATGTGGAAGACCTGAACTTGGCTGTTTGTGTTAGTACCATGTGGTAAACCTGCCACAGCGTGATGTGAGGATTATTTTCCTTATTAGCTTGGCACAAGCATCAGTTACATATCAACCTTTGTTACAGTACGGCAGCAGATTTCTGTCCTCTGTGGCTGCTTCTACTTAAATAAATGACAGTAAAATGAAAGAGAAAGCATTCCGATCCTTTTTTAAGCAAAATGATCAGTTCAGCAACACTAAATTTACATTAAATGTCCTATAATTCAAAATTATCTAAAACTAACATGTACTTAAAGTGTGACACACAATCTATAGCTCAAAGATTTATATAACTAGGCATTACATTGTGTGTTTTTCTATACAGGTATGCTTTTACACTATTGGCGACGTGTTTGGGATCAGTGCTGAAAAATGAACATATTGCAATTCATGTTTTCCAGATGGCCCCTATGCCTTTCTATGTTCATAATTCCATAAATTTGGACAAGATCCCCAACACCACTGGCTAAAACGCAGCCCTAATGCAGCCCTTTGCTGGATTTTTTCCCTAATTTGTAAGGACATTAATTTCAGATACTCTTCATCTACTGAACTATACTTTTTTTATTTGTTTTTTAAGGACACACTGCACACCATGCTGAGATATACCAGGTTTCGACTCCCAGTGCATTTTCACAGTAATGCATACACAAATCCAGAGTATTTGTGCTAGCATTTAGCAAAATAAGCATTTCTCAACTGATTAGAAGATTTTCTTTAAAAAGTATTATATGTAGTCGCAAATGCTGTTAAAAGCACTTTTTTGATTCTGTAAAAATACAGATTTATGTCTGTCAGATTGTGTTATCTTTGGCATTATTCAGATTCAAGTAAAGAAATAAGAATAAATGATGTGGTTTTATGATTAACTGCTAGTAACAAACTACATAAAGATAAAACACCTTTAGGTTTTTTGGTTAAATTGTCTTTTATATGCAGACACAACCTTGTTAGGTGTCGTTTTTATGCTTACATTATTCATATGTCAGTGTTTAGTGGCTAAAACGTAGAAACGTTCCTCTGAAAGGGTTTGGTATAAGAACAGGGCTGAAAATGACCTTTTTTTTTAAAGAGAAAAAGTGAAAATCTCTAAAAGCGTGGAGAACTATTTCTCAAAACTACTATCAAAGACAGAAACCAGGTTCTTTGGAAGTAAAATATAAAGAAATGATGGTTGGCTGAAGACTTCTGCACAGCACTGCGCGTTACTTTCGTGTTTTTGTTTTTTTTTTGTTTGTTTTTTAACAAATACATGTTTCATCCGGGAAGCGGACTTTGTTCTCAGGCATGTTACATTTTAACGTTAGGCTCTTTACGCCTTTTTTCCCAGGCGCTGACGCTTCCTTACGCATGCGTAAAACCAGTTGAAGAATACGTAACTGGCGTAACGTTCACGAGCCAGGCTAGCGGTGAAGGGTTTTGTGGGTCATGGGGGAGGAAGGTAAATAAAAGCGGGGAGCTAATAGCACTCAGCGACTGGTTTCGGACGGTTACTGGAAAATTTGTTCGGACGGAGGTGTGAGAGCGGGACAAGAGGGGACATACCGCCGGAGTGAGGGACTGTCGCTCGGATACAGCAGCAGCTGTCGGCGGTGAGGTGAACAGTATGCTTCCCTTCTATTCATGCTTCTTCGCTGGGTGCACACTACGGGAGTGATCTCTGCACTGGCCCTACTGCAGCTAGCCAGCTAGCCACAGCTGATATTTTTTGAGTTCCGGACGGTCGTGAGCGTCCTCGGTTTCCCTTTAGGTTTCATGAACAGCACGCTGGTTACATAAATAACACAGAGTATCGCTTATCGAGCTAATGTTGCTGTTTGTAGCTGAAGCTGCAGTTAGCTCCGAGCAGCTCTATTTTATTACACAGTGCTCCCAGAAAGGTAACAATGCAGGCAGGTGTGTTTAGTTGATATCTATAACTAGTGGACTATGTGTGACAAAAGCAACCTTCGCCTATTCCTATCGTCTCCGTGGATTTGTAGTCAATAAACAGGTGTCATAATGGCCCGTCTTTGGTAATGTGTGTATTAATATCTCTGTCTGATCCTCTTACTTTGACCCTAATCATAATACAGCAGCCATTTGAAGCGGTGGCACTAAAGTAGCCTTTAAATCTTCAGCCTAGACAGCAAGAACAACAGTCCACCTGTAAGGTGTTGTGTAATAGTCACTGAAGAGTTTTTAGGTAGACGGTCACATGCGAGATTAGGAAGGGAATTCATTTTTATGTTCCTCCTCTCCAGGGAGGTCAGCATGTGTAATTGATCGGGGTCATTGAAGTACAGCAGCAGAGTTTCATACATCTGGGACTACATTTCAGAGTGAAACGGTGTCACGGTATTGTTTATTATTTTGCTTTTAAATGTTTAGGTGAGTAATCATCAGATGGAGCAGGATCAGTTGAAACTTTGCAGTTTATATAGCTGTTATTTTAGACCTGATATGGAGTATTGTGAAAAAATGCTGCTCTTCATTTCGTTATATTTTGCTTCACAGAGGAGCCAAACATTCTTGTAATATATTAAAGTGGTCTTGAACACTTCTCAAGTTCTCAAGGCTTTCTGAAGGTATTTTTATTTAGATATCAGTTGTTTTGTTTCTTTTCTCATTCATTTTTAGCTCAGTAATTGTACCTGACCAATTTTTTATTTTAGTCTCTTAACACTGACCCGCTATCCATCATTCAAGCATATAAAAGGCACTTAACACAAGCAATGTACCAGTCTTGTGTCAACTATAGTACAAGCAGCTGGAAGAATCAGGAAAAAATCCATGAAGAACCTGGTGTCAGTGGAAAAGGCTGCGGTATGCCAAATTATGCAAGAACTTGATTGAAAATCAGTGGCAGCAAATCTTAGAATGATGAAATTGAAATTTTTGATTCAAACTGTCGTCAGTGTGGTACAACACTATGAACCTTTTTCCTCCCTTTCAGGCAGTGGTGCTGGGATCTTGTTAGAATTGATGGAATTTTAAACACAGAATATCCATCAGATTTTGCCATTTGGAAAGCGTCTGATTGACAGCAGCTTAATTCACTGCCTGGATAGCAAAACACTTATCAGTCATGGATTGTCCTCACCAGAGCATCTACCTCAAAATGATTGAAGCAGTTTGGAATCGTCTTGACAGAGAACAGAACAAAAGGCAGCCAACGTCCAAAGAGGAGAACTTATCCTGAAGACTACTTAATAAAATTATAAGAAAGCTTGCATAACAAAGTTGCAAATATTAACTTTAAAGCTCATTAGAGTAGTACAAATCTTGTTGGTGGGTGTTTTTTTTTTTCTCAGCTTATATTCTATAGTTCAATGCATGTTTGCACATTTCAATAAATCATGTATAAATAAACATGTATTTTCAATTTTCCTAACAAAATATAAAGAAATGAGGGGTGGCTCAAGAGCTTTTAACAGTAATGCATACAGAAATCCAGAGTATTTGTGGTAGCATTTATCAAAATAAGCATTTCTCAACTGATTAGAAGATTTGCTTAAATAAAATAGTATTACATGTAGTCAGCGTGTTAGTATAGTGATGCTGATGTTCTTTATCTTCGTAAACGCTCTTAAAAGCAAAAATCTCCTGAACGTACCAGATGAGTTAAGTGAAACATGCTGTGGATGCCTGTGCCTGCTGAGCCATCATATTCTCATTATTAATGGTTCACTAAGAGCCAGAAGATGAAATGAAAAACAGCAGATGGAGCTTGAATTTGTGCGCGTTTCATGAGGCTATTTGAGCAGCCTGAAGATTTCGCTCGGCCTGTCAGCTGTTAAAGGGGTCAGGAAATTGAATAATTATTTTTAGATGTGATGGAAGGGACACAAAACAATGTGAAGGACTAACTGAACTTAAAATTACTCTCTGGTGCCGAATAATAATAATAATAATAATAATAATAATAATAATAATGATAAAAAAAATCTTTCAGGGTTGAATATGTCGAGTGTTAAAAATTAAAACATTTTATATTTTGGGGGATGGTTTTTCAGTTATTGGTGCATAACTGTTTAGTTTCTCTAATATTTAAGTGTCTAATTAGAAATTGGACCTCATACTGGATGCTTTAGGATCTGCGTCTTTTAATTGTTCCATTGAGGTGCTTCACTCTACATAGTCCATTGCATGACTATCACAGTAAAACTAAATATGAAAAAAGAAAATAAATGGTAATAGATAAAATGATAATTGGATGGCGCAGTGGTCGGTGGTGCCATCTTTAAGCAAAGTGGCCTTGAATCCACCTGCTGACTGGAACCTTTCTGTGTGGAGTTTGCATGTTCTTCATGGTAAATGGTAAATGGCCTGCATTTGTATAGCGCTTTACTTAGTCCCTAAGGACTCCAAAGCGCTTTACACTACATTCAGTCATTTACCCATACACACACATTCACACACTGGTGATGGCAAGCTACATTGTAGCCACAGCCGCCCTGGGGCGCACTGACAGAGGCGACACATCGGTGCTGTGGTTAGCCGCTGTTGCCTCACAGCAACGAGGTCCTGGATCCAGGTCTCCTGGAAGCACCCCATTCCAAAGACGCACATGTTGGCTTAACTGGTGATTTTAAATTGGCGTGAAGGGTTATCTGTTTCTGTGTTAGCTCTGTGAGAGAGGAAGAATGTGGATGGCTGGATGGCTTACCCAATGCAGGGTCATAGAGTGGGCGTAGAGCCTTTTCCAGCTGATGCCGAGCAGGACACAAAAAAGCCTGCACATTAGGGAAAAAGAAAGACTAGCTACAAAAATATTTTACACTCATACAATTAGAGCAGGGCAATATGACCAAAAATATTTTTCACGATATACATTTGAAAATTTGGATAACGATATAACTGACGATATAATTGACACTAGACAAAATACTTTACAACTCCACAACTTTATTAGTGCAAAAAACCCCATCAATGTATTTTCACTTAAACAAGCAGCTGTTTTTTATGTGCATTAAAGTTATATAAAAATTTAACAGTGCAAATGCAAATTCCTTGCTGACAGTTTAACCAAAAGGCATTTCCAGTGGAAATTGGCCGACATATCCTCAGCATAACCATGTATAATATCCACAAAACTTAAAAAGAGGTTATACACACACAATACGGTAATATTATGTTGAAGCACAGTACGTATCACTCCGCGAGGCCCTGCCTACGATAGCCGTAATGCTCACTTGACTATTTTCGAGCGCGTGACACATAAAATCGTTTGAGGTCAGTAAACACAACCAGAATTCATACATAAGGCACACGGGATTATAAGGGGCACTGTCGATTTTCAGAAAAATCAAAGGATTGATTTTAAGTGTGCCGTATTTTCCAAACAACACGGTAATAACGACGGCCTGCTAGCATGCTCTACCAAAAATAGTGCTTTGTTGTGTATCTGACGGACGAAAGCTCAAACCAGTTCCACACCACTGAAGTTGCAGCATTTTTACAAACCAATTCTGGTTCATCCGTTTCATTCAACGATCCACTTTCGCCTCTTCTCATTCTGCGTCGCCGCCATGTGCATATGTAAACATAGGCACTGCGCATGCGCGTTTTACCCATATTCTATTGCGACATTTCATTTTCCTATCGTTGCCCAAAATTACACCGGTATTACCGTGAACGGTATGATATAGCCCAGCCCTACATACAATAAATAAAACCAACTAAAAATAAATGTATAGAAAATGATATTTTGTTTTAGGGTTTCTCACTGAGGAGCATTTAGTGTAGATGTTTAGTGGGACTGGAATTTCTTAATGTTTGTAAGACAAGTATTTGTATTATATCTGTTCTGATCTGTCACCAACAAAAGGAACAAAAACAGTGAAACTAATAAAACCTAAACTGAAAACTTTACATGGAAAAAAAAAAAAGAAAAAGTAAACGGTCAAAACTAAAGTAAAACAAGCCAACCCATTCGGGGAAGCTTAGTGAAGCTAAGCTGAAGACAAAATAAAACTGTAATAAGTCTCTTCTCATAGCAATACTTTTCTTGAACACAGACTGAATATGAGTGGTTCATTTATGGCTCTTCTTCTCAGTTTGCAGGTGGTCTGATTGGGTTTGCCTCATCCTTGTGTTGCCATGGCGATGCGTGAGTTGGTGGAGGCAGAATGCGGGGGAGCCAATCCCCTCATGAAGCTGACCAGTCACATGACCAAGGAAGGGGGGCCATGGCGGAACGCCACAGCACCTCCAGTGAGTATTTTGTAAGACATCAGGCCCTGAGCTCTGTAGTCTACACGATATGCTTAGAAGTTTGGGGTCACTTAGAAATGTCCCTGTTATTTTTCAGTCTCTTTATTGATTTTTAGCAAACTTTGGCTTTGAGTTTCAACATTAAATTAATAAACACTCATTTTTATCTGTGAGGAAGAGCCTGATATTCCTTTTATTTATTTTTTTAATTATTTAAGGCAACGATAGACTATACTTAAGCTTTCCTTTTGTAACTTTATAAAATAAAATGTAACAAATAATTACATTCCAGAGTTTTAATTTCGCTCAGTGGTATGCATTAGTGAAATAATACCTGACAACAAAATTTATTTGCATTTGTTTCATTTTATCTCAGAGTTTTTCGGATGTTTCATTCATACCCAAGCTAGTTTTTTCTTTTTCTATGTGGAGATGACAAAAAATGGGGATACTGTTATCAAATAATACTAATCAACTTCCTGACAAAACTTTGTTACTTTAAAAGTAATAAAGCTTTCCAGCAATTCCTTCTGCTTCTTTTTACATAACATCTCTGCTACCAAACAAACAAATGAGAGAGAACCTGCCTCATCTCGTGGGAGCTTTTCAGTCCTGACAGGAGATTCTGGTTAAGTAACAAACATAATTAAAAGTAGTTGGTGTAGCAGGTGAGAATTACCATTAACAGCTGTAGCTTTGCTCTTGGGTTCGTCCATGTTCTGTTACTCCTGCTAATGAGGGGCCCTTGTTTGCATGACGCACAGCAAAGTAATTACAGAACAACATAAAACTGAATTCAAGTAAGTAAAATTTTACTAATATTGGATCTTTCAAGATAAAAATCACAAAGTACCTCACAAAAAAAATGCTAGAACATCAAAACAAAAGACGAAAATATGAGTACTCAGGTGTTTGTCCATGTGGAACTCTGAAAGTCAAAACCAGAATCTTAATAATAACAATAACCATTTCTGATTGCGCGTGCAACTCTCCATCTGCGTGGACATGAGAGCAGATGTTCTTAAAAGTGCTCAAAATGGACTGAAGCCAGAGCAAGGCTCCAAAACAGAACCCTGTGGCACACCGTAGACAAGAGACAAGGAAAAGAACCTGAACTAAGAAGCAGCCACAGAAAAGGAACATTTATGCAGATACTGACAGGTATTATGATCTGCTCCAGAGGAGAGCCCAGATTCTTATCCTATTGAGAAAATTGAGGTGGTCGCCATTGTCAAAGACAGAAGGCAAGTTCTTCATCAGCAAAACAGAACATTACCCTGCACCCACTTTGCATCGAGATGCTTATAGAAATGCTCCTTCTTATGAGTAACTGATCGAGCTTTTTGAGCCAGGATCTGAACAATATTTCCTGGATCCATGCTTTTAACTTAAAATGCAGAAACTGTATCAAAGCATACAGTAACTGTGTAAGAGTGCCTCTGCTACAAGAATACAAGATTTAACACAATCTGTTGTAGGGCTGTAAATTTAAGAGTATATCTTTCCTTTTAATTAGAAAATCTAACACTGTTCTCTGTCGCCCTTGTTATATAGCAGTTTAAGAGCTAATTGGCATTTAAATATATTAATGTTAAGTTCCAGAATTTTTTGTGCAGTTGGCACCAGGCTACAGCAAAAGCACTAGTGTTGCTTTTGCAATAACTTTTCTTGATATATTTTCAAGCTCCCTGTGACCTTTATCTCTGGAGCTGCTTGATTTAACATTTTTGTGCAAAACATTTTGCTGATAGATACCATACTTTATTATTATTATTTTTTGCAGATTCATCCCACTCCCATTGAAATTGCAACTGAGGAAGATGTAAGTGCTTTTCTTTCAATTTTAATGATTTGCTCTAAGACTGTACAGTATATACTTCAAGTTTATACCCTAAAGCCAAAATATTTAGGTTTCCTCAGCATGTACTCTAATCATTAAGAGTTACCGTTAGATTTTATATAAAATGAATGTTTTGTTCTAGCTCGTTAATGAGTTCCTTCAGGAAGCTCCACGCCCTCCACAGACCTTTGACATGGGTCAGCTGCTGGAGGAAATGCAGCAGATTGACCAGCAGAGCTACAGACAAGCTCCACAGAGAGGTGCTCTTCATCATTATTTGATGAAGTTTAAAAGATTTTTCTAAACCTTTTTTCCAGTAAATTTGAACTTCTTTGTATTTCCTTGTCATAGCTCCTGATGTGGCAGCGCTGGCCCTCTCTGGTGACTGGGTGGAGGAGTTCCTCCAAGGCTCTGATTCTGCCTCCGCCCCGGGGCTCATCGCACTCGGCGATGCCGCAGATGCTGATTGGACGAAAGAATTTATTGCCGAGGCAGCAGGTATGTTTTGTTTTCATTGCTTTTCTTGGCCTTCTGCATTTTTTGCTTAATGAGCAAATCATCTTTCTGCCGTTATCATCACTCTGTCTCATATCATCACGTTTTTTTGCTCAAATCAGAGTGAATATCTTTAGGACAAAGTCTTCATAGTGTAGCTGTTCTGACTCATGAACTCTGGACAGTGTCAGCAGAATTGCATCCAAGCTTCTTCCAAGGTTGTCCTTTCACACATGTAGCACAAAGCAAGAGATGATCTACTTTAAAATTTACTCACTGCTAAAAATAACCTGTTTGTTGAGAGTGCTGAGAGTCCACCGAATGATTACCTGCACTGTTCTCACACGCGTTCAGGCACAGGGTGTTTAAAAGGGAGCTGACAGTTATAAACCATTTAATGTCCGATCCAGCAGAATCAGACGTTTGAGTTCTCACATGCAGCTCTGTTAGGCGTCTACAAAGGTTTTTTTTTTTTTTTTGTTTTTTTTTTTTTATAGACTCACTGCATGGGTGAAAACAGCTTATGTCATTATTACGTGTTTGCTGTGTTTTTAATTTTTCAATTTCTCTCATTTTTAGATCCTGGCCGCTGGGCAGAAGAGTATCTGGAGCAGTCTGAGGAGAAGTTGTGGCTGGGGGATCTTGGAGACAAGGCAAATGAATGGTGAGCAGGGGATAGAGCCGGGGGGTGGAAGGGGGTTACAAGCACTGCATTACATGTAGAAAATGTAGAGTAGACATGTGAGGGAGAATCAAGGAGGACAAGAGTGCTGTTGGCAGAACTTAAAGCACTTGAAAAACTGTGATAATTTTCTCTTCTTGGTGAGTGAATTTTCTATTTAATTGTTAAACATTTAACCTGATATTCTCTTGTCTGACAGTGTTGAGTTAATCCATTAAAGCTCTGGTAGAAGCCAGTGAAGCAGCTGAACATGAAGTGAAAGCTGATTTAAAGAGTCCTTGTATAATCATCGTTGTGCACTGGGCTCTAAATACGAGAGTGTAAAATGCAGTTTATATTTGAAGTGATTTGTTCCAACCTACAGTACTGTGCAAACGTCTTGAGCCAGCCATCATCATTGCTTTATATTTTATATTCCATGAAATATTGGAAATGGGTGTCATTGAAACATCTGTAAATATACATTGAAATACAGAATATAAGTTGAAAATCGTGTGTACAATTCTAATATGCTTGAAAAGCAGTATTTGCTATGACTAACTTCATTCTTCACCTTATTGGTACAAAAATAAAACTATTTTATGTCGAAATGAGTGAAAAAACAGCAAATGATCAAAGAAAGGCTTTGAAAGACCTTCAAAAACTCTGAGAACGATTGTTCTAGACCACTTTAAAACATCATGGGAAAGTCTTGCTCAAGACCTTCTAGTTTTATAGCATCAAATTTATGTTTGTTTTTTTTATTGTTAATCTGACAGGACTAAGGAGTATCAAGCAGAAGACGAGCTGAGGCAGACAGCCAATGAGCTTGTCTCAAAGGTTGATGACCCAAAGTTACAAAACACAGAGGTGAGCAGTGTGTCATTGTGACACCGTAATACACACCATTTCCTTTTACATGTCTATCACCATGTTCTTTCACTTTTTTCTTTAACTCTTTTGTAGAGTAGGTCCTTGAGACTGTAGCATGTGGTGCACAGATGATTTTTGTGGTTTTTAATGGCTTTTGTCTCAGTATGGGAAGAAAGTTGCTGGTTTGGGAAGAAACTAGCATTACTGGTGTAAAACTGATGAATTAGTAATAGTAAATGCCTTTTTTTTTTTTGTTGTTGTAATTTGTTTTTTGTTGTTGTGTAGTTCCTGCGATTCATTAGGCAAATTGGCGAGGGCACTGTGACAGTGGAGAGCAAGACAGACAAACAGCTCACAGATAAAGCTCAGGCCGAGAATGCTCAGAACTGGGCCTCCAACCTCAACCAGGTACGAGTCGCAGCCCACTGAGGAAAGGATGGTTACAACTGTGAACGCTGTATGTTGGGGTAGAACACTGGTTCACTGTTGCCCAGTATAGGCTAAGCCTTGTGACTCATCACCCCAGTATCTGATGCAGTGTAAAATTTTCCACAAATGTAACCAGAAGCAGCCACCAGTCTGCTTGTAATATGAGTCTCCAGGCTGCAGTGTTGCAGATGGAATTTGTTTTTGCAGAGAAAGGGCTCTCATAACTGTCAGCTTCTCCTCTTGAGCATTTAGATTTTAATGTGCACGACCAAGATTTGGGGTTTTCCCATCTTGACGTGATTTTCCTTTCGCTCTGGATTTCACAGAAGGTGCAACTTCATTGCTTTGTATTCGACCAGTTCAGGCAGTAAAAGGCTGATGCCAGATCGAGTTTCTCTCTAAATGTATTTCTCTACAAGACGACAGATACAAAAGTACGGAGGCGTAATCCTTTCACTTGACTGAATTAATGAGAGATTTTATAATCCCAAAGGAGCCTTATTGATTTGAAAGCTTGATTTCTTGAGCTATAATACTGCTGCAGACTGTTTGTCTGCTGGATATTTCATGTTTCTCTTAGATCAGTTGAACCAATATGGCTTCAGGATGTAAGACGATGCATCTCAAATGCATTCAGACTGGCTAAGTGGTGACTCAAGAGACAAAGATTCCAGTACCTCCCAATGTTTCCAGCATAAACCAAGAGGAAACTGTATTAACAAAGCATGGGGCATTACTGCTTATGAAATCAAGGTTTCAAATTAATAGAGGCTCTTTTGGGATTTTAAGGTCCGTCACAACAATGTTTAACTGCTAACTTAGCTATCATGGGGGAAAGGTGAGGTATACTCTGAACAGCTGGTTTTTAAGCTGTATCTTTGATCCAGAAAAACAAGACAAAATAATTAGTCAAGTAAATGCATAACATTTCTGACTGCATTCAAAAATACACACAACCCCCCAAAAATATAGATCAGAGTTAAATATCTTTAACCCACAGGTGACTAAAATGACCAAATAGGTTCTTAAAAAAAAAAAAAAAAAAAAAAAAAAAAAAAAAAAAATATAAAAAAAAAAATAATATATAATATATATATATAATTATATATTATATTATATATATATATCAATAATATATTATAATAATTATATATAATATATAACTATATAATTCATATATATTATATATATTTATTAGTTATGTTTGTGTTTATGTCAGAAATTCTGAACTGCTGTGATGTTGTTTTATTCAGTCATTCTGCATCCTGAAAAGGTTAGGTTTAGTCTCAAGACTTCTGCAGCAGTGAGTCTTGCCATTTTAGGTTTGTGATCCATAGTTTGCTGCAGAACATTACAAGTGTGTAATGTAGAGATTAGAAGGGAAAACTACAACAAAATCAACACATATATTTAAAATGCACATATATTCAGTTATATGTTATTCCTGCTATATTAATGGGTTAATTCCTGTAACAAAAGTTCTAGAAGAAGTCTATTTAAAAATTCATAGTCTAAAGCATTATACAGCACAAAGAAATATACCACTGAGGGCATAAATGAATCATGTAATTGGAAAGTTAAAAATACTCTGCAAAGCAGCAAATTACTCAATTTTAGAGATTTACATAATTTCCTTAGGGATTTTTAAATTATTCTGATTAAAAGAGTATAAATAAGAAGGTTTGGGTTATTTTATTTTTTGTACCTCCTAAATTGGATCTAGAGATTGATTTGTTAGTAACTATTTTTTTTTATTTTATTTTATTTTTTTATTTACTAATTTTTACTAATCTAGTCAGAATTTGGAGAAATTGGGTGTTTATACTTCTGCCTTGAATCTCTGATGTTTTTACTTTTTACTGTGAAGCTCTATGCTGTAACCATGTATCTCCATAAATGCATCATCAACACAGTCTCGTTTACTGGCGCCGTTTGGGCTTAAGCTTCTCTGGCTACTTCTTCTCTTGCCATTTTTTTCAAATCGACTGTAAGAGAGGGGATCTTGGTTGCAAAAAACAAACCAAAAACAATTACCTCAAGAAGGTTCCTGTGACAAAGTCTGACTGTGAAACTGCTTGTTTGACAGGTGGTTAGCCAGTGAGTGTGCAGGTTCATACCAATGATAATCCTCTATTTTAAAAGATAGCATCACTATCATCATCATTTGTTTAAATTCAGTATGACCCAAAATAAGTGACTGGGCCCATGAGCTCATCAGGAGAGTGTTTACACAGGTCAAAACAGGAAGATTGGGGTTTTTTTTTAGTAGTTTTGCAACTACTGCTATCGCCATCTGGTGGCCTCCAGATAGAATGCAGGTGTAAGACGCTTGAACGTTGACTTTGTGATCTGTGTTCCCCCAGCTAGTGTTTGGATAAGGAAATTGCAGAGCATTGCAGGAACACCAGGGATAGATGCACATGCTGGCAGCAGGAGCTGCACCGTAGGCTCTAAATAGATTCAACGCAGAAGTATAAATTAAGCTATAATCTGTACTTTAATTTAATCTTTTGTAAGTCCAAAATTTGACCTGATATCTCAGTTTGCTTTTTTCTGCTTTACATCTGTTTCGTGCTCTTTTCCTGGCCTAAATGGCTTCCACATTATGTTGTGCATGTGTAGCTGTCAGCCATATTCATGCTACATTATGATTACATCTATGCCATCGCCCTCTAACTCTGAATTGTGCTTTTCCTATTTTTTATTTTATTTTGTTATTTTTATTTTTTTTAACCTGCCTTTGGATTCTTGGCTTACCATTACCTTCATTAACACCTGTTATTCATCTGCTCCTCTTGATACTTCAAATTACTCCTTTTTTGCCCACCCCTCCAAAAAATTTGTAAAAATCCTCCACACCAACTCCTCCTCTTCCTCGAAACATTGTCCCGTTCCCTACTGCCACCCCTCCCTCCGTAGTTCCTGATGAAGACGGGGGGAGGGAGTCTTCCCCTGGAACCCCCAGAGATGAATCAGAAGATTGACAAAGTAAAAGCTAAACAAGCAGAGCAGTGGGCCAGAGTCGTCAGGCAGGTACGACCTCTGTGGTCACGGCAGCTATCCATGTTTTATTTTAAGCTGCAGTTGTAGTTACTTATTTGTATGTTATGCTACCAGTGTTAACAATTTCGATCTTACCCATTCATTCAGATAGTCTCAGATTTCCTGCATCTAGTTGCTGTTTAGTGCGTTTACTGTCTTAGGAGAAAACTGGGAGTTAATTAGGAAGGAGATAAAGGAAGCAGTACGAGAAAAATGGTTTCTTCTGTGTTCTTCCACCTTTCATTTCTTTACTCCTTCACATTCACTCCCCTCTATATTTTTCCTCTCTGAATGCCCCGGTTCTCCCCTTCTAATAACAGTTTTCTCAGCCAGCGCATACAGATTCCTATCAACCACTGCCATTGCTCTTCATTGTTATTCAGGTGTCAGAGGAGTCGGCTGAAGCCTGGGTAGATGAGTTCGCTACATCAGGACCTGATTTTCAACAAGCGAAAGCCGCAGTGGAGGTGAGGCAAGAGTCTGTGACAATAAAAACCTTCAACCCAAAGCCAAGTATAATAAGTAGTATTGTAGAGGTTAAAGCACTGAGTGTCATCGGAGTTGAGGTTTGAAAATGGAAACTTTCCTGAATGATTGGCATGACGGTGCCCTTGATTTTTTTTTTTTTTTTTTTAAACACCCACAAACTTAATCCTGTTTAAGGAACGAAAAAAATATAGGGCCATCCTATAAGGCATCATCGATGCAGCAGCGTCTTCCAGTTGAAAAAGGTCAAAGTTATCTCCAATACGCTGTGAAGTAATGATGCGTGTCTGTCATTTTGTCAGAGTGATGTGGATTTCTGGGAGAAGCTGCAGCAGGAGTGGGAGGAGATGGCGAAGAGAGATGCAGAGAGTCATCCCTGGCTGTCTGACTTCGATCAGCTACTCAGCACTTCTTACGACAAGGTATCCGTCAGCCTGCTCAGAGCAGGTGTCTGCTGCTATCTGTTTTGTGTTGCAAGATTTCAGCATTTTTGCGCATACGGCTGTCATGCACAATGTCTAATGTGCTCCTGTGTTTCATATACCCTATTAAGTACTAATTAAAATCATATACACACACAAGTTCTCTGAGCAGTTTCAATGTTTTCCTTGTTTTCATTTGCAGGGCTATCAGTTTGAAGAGGAGAACCCCTACTTATCACACCCGGACCCTTTGTCAGAGGGATTGAAGAGGATGGAGGCAGGGGACATCCCTGGTGCCGTCCGGTTCTTTGAAAGTGCTGTGCAGAAGGAACCAGACAACCAGCTGGTAAGACTCTGAAAGGCTGTGTTCTCATTTGCATTACACTTTTTTTTTTTTTTTAATTCTTAGAACATCCTGTTATTAGTTAATATAACATTGTGGGCCAAAAGGTCTCCCTACTTCTAATTTTAGCCATGTTTTTCTCCTGCTTCCAACAGAAGGCCCTTGAAATAATACCATGTGTCTTTTTTTCCCCCATTAAATTGCAGGCTTGGCAATATCTGGGAACCTGTCAGGCAGAGAATGAGCAAGAATTTGCCGCCATCAGCGCCCTCCGCAGGTCAGTAGTCAAAGTTGACTAAAACATGTAGTAAAACATGTAGTTATTATTATTATTATTATTATTATTATTATTATTATTATTACTCTAGATCTGGGTGTTGTCTCTTGTCTATAGTTTTTGTATCTGTAAGCATATAAAACACATTTTGCATATAAAAAAAAATGTGTTTTTCCACCACAGAGTCTATGTTAAAGTGAGGATAGATTTTTGTTAAGACCTTTTTAAATGCATACTAATGTGAGTGTCACCTCAAAAGAAATATTTTCAACCAGGAAAGCACCTCCATATTTTAACATTTGTCGTTGCAAATAAGAGTTTCTTTGCCAAATGAATAGTCGTGTTTTTTCTGTCTGACTACTTCTTTTTATTACCACCATTCTTCCCATAGGTGTATAGAGCTGAAGAACGACAACCTGACTGCCCTCATGGCGCTGGCTGTCAGTTTCACCAATGAGTCACTGCACAGGCAGGCCTGTGAGACTCTATGTGACTGGCTAAAGCACAATCCAAAATACCACTCTGTTTGGGAGCAGAGTGAGCACGAACGCTCCAAAGACAGCTCCAAAGAAAGGGAGAAGGACAGAGAGAGGTTCGGGTCATTGCTGCCAGAGTGAGCATCACGCACGTTTAGGAGAATACAAAGATACCTCTTTCTCTTTGCCCTTTCCTTATTGCTTTTCCCTTGTGCAGGTCTTTGTTTACCGACGTCCAGTCCATGTACCTGCAAGCAGCCAATGTTGACCCTACCCAGGTGGACCCTCAGCTTCAGTGTGGTCTCGGCGTCCTCTTCAACCTCAGTGGAGAGTATGACAAGGCGGTGGACTGTTTCAGCGCTGCTCTCTCCGTCACTCCACAGGTTGGTGAAGAATTCTTTGTAGAAATTCCAATGGCTTCATGTCATGTGCTCAGTTTCTGAGCTCTTTCTTTGTTTTTCTGTCCCCATAAGGACTATCTGCTGTGGAATAAGCTGGGTGCCACGCTAGCCAACGGAAGCCGCTCAGAAGAGGCTGTGGCCGCCTACAGGAGAGCACTGGAACTGCAGCCTGGCTTCATACGCAGTCGCTATAACTTGGGAATCAGCTGTGTAAACTTAGGGGCACATAGGTGAGACAACAGTGCTGTTTTGATGTGTATTTTGCTAGAGAGTCTTGGCATGTAAAGAAGTAAAATCTTTAGATTAAATGCATAATCCTCCTGAAGCTGGTTTTTATGATAGGGGAGTGTCAAGGTTTACTCATTTTGTGGTTCACAACCTTACCACTGATGACCTGAGTGTGGCTCTCTTAACAGAACAGTTTTCTGATAGATGTGGAATTAGTCCAGCAGTTTACATTTAGATAAACTTTTAAAAAACGTGTTATGTGAAATCAGCATTTGATATACCCTTTTCAAATTGTCTTAAACACACTGACATTCTGCTGCTTACATACACATCAAATGCGTTCTGTGCCTTTTCAAATTCTGTCAGATTGCTACTTTTGAACTTTAGCAATTTTATGCTGCTTCCCAGATGTTTTTACCTTCCACTAGGGGGCAGTTTATAGTTAAATCTGCCTCCTAGTGGAAGGTATTTTATAGTCCCTTTTCCATTAGTACCTACTCCGATCAACTCAGCACGGTTCACCATGCTATTCAGGGTTTTCCATGAGGCCATAGAAACTGGTACCAGGTACTTTATTAGTACCTGCTCAGCCAGGGTTTCAAGCGATTGAAGCAGGTACTAGAAGTTACGTCGTCACGCTGCATGCCACCGATTGGCTCGTCAGTAGCATCACTCAATGAGTCATAAGTGCATCTCGTTCACGAAAATTAAAACTGCCATTTTTGAAACCAGCAACGAGGGAAATGGCTACAAAAACACCGCAGTGTTCCCCGAGTTTGACAAAAAGCCACAGACCGAGCAGTAGGTATATTCTTGGCTCAATGTCCACCTTTGTTGTAGCGTTCGTGTTGCATATTAATTACGTTGCAGGATGCCCAGACGCATTGCTATGGCAACAAGCGCGCACACTGGGTTGTAATGGGAAAACCAGTCGATCCGAGTCGTAGCGATCTGTGGCAAGTAAATCAGAGTAGCTACTAATGCAAAAAGGGCTTATGTGATACAGTTAGACCATACACAAAAGATGCTACACTAGACCAGACGTGCAAGAAATCTAATAAATCTCACAAAGGTTTGTGTTGATGATGATTGACATTCACTTTATAAGGTATACCTTCAGCGAGGTGCTGGAAACATTCCTCAGACATTTTCGTCTGTTTCGAAATGATTCCCTGACATCCCAGAGGTGCTGTATTGGATTGTGATCTCTGATCTCTCGCCAGCAGGTCATCTTCGCCATGTCTAAAAAGCTAAATGTTGCTGCCATTTGGCTGATTAGATATTTGTCTTATACAGCGCTTAACCAGGTGTACTTAATAAAGTGGCCACTAGAGTGTACACCAGTGAGAAATGGACCTTAATTTGCAAAAGTGAACTTAGTTTACGCAAGTTTTTTTTATTACTGTTGCCTGTTCAGGTTGATATCAGCACGTTGCAGATTGAACATAAATCCATCCTGTTCTCTTTTTTAACTCCACAGAGAGGCAGTGGAGCATTTCCTTGAAGCTTTATCTCTCCAGCGCCAGGCTATAGAGGATGGAGCGAGAGCGCCAAGGGGTCCCGGAGGAGCTGCGGCCACTATGATGTCCGACAATATCTGGTCCACCCTGCGCATGGCTCTCAGCATGATGGGAGAGAGCTCCCTGTACGCCGCGGCCGACAGGCGAGACTTGGACACCTTGATGGCTCATTTCTGCCAGAGAGAGGTGGATGGTGGGACTGAATGAAAACCTGCCAGGAGAGGGCTCATTGAGTGTGAATGTTTTTTGCTGGGAGGTAAATGTATGAGTGACTGAATGAAGCTGATTGAATGGAGGAATGAAGGGGACATGGTACAGCTAACGGTTAAAAGAAGATGATCGAGGAACACACTGTGAAGTGATCAAAGTGCTCATCATCATCATCATCATGTGTACATGTGTGTTTAAAAGTGTTGCCGTATCAGGCTTCACCTGTAGAGAAGCAGGCAGCAGTAATCCAGTCACGAACTGTTTCACACGTTCAGCAGTCACTGGATTTCCTCCTTTGTTGATCAAGAGAACCAGACTGAATGATTTTAACTTGAAAATCTTTCTCAGAGAAGAAGAGAAACAAGAATAAACATGGTTTAATCACTAATCTGTTCACCATCCAGCAATGTTAGTTTGTGTTAAGACACTCAGTCCTCTCCCTGTCTTTATTCACAGTTTGGTGGCCTCTGAGTTTATTATTACTGTGTTGATGTTGTTCCTACAGCATCTCGTTAACTTTGCTTCAGGACCACCATTGCAACCGGACAATCACATTGTTGTATTCGCTTTACAACTTGGGAACAAGATGTACACAAGAGTCTGGTAGGGACAACGCTGTGGTTCATGAATGGGTGAAACATAAGACTTTCACCCAGGAGACTGAGGCTTGTAGTCCTTGTTCATTTGAGACTTAGTTGACTGCTTTTCATTTTGAAAAGTATTTACTTCAGTCACTTTGGTTAGGTGTATAAAATGATCATATTAGAACTTAGTGAAGGCAAGCATCTTTTTTTTCCCCTCCCCCCTCAGGTGCAAAGCTAAGCTAGTGTTTTGTACACTACAAACCCTGTTTTATCAATTCACATGCCTCTTCATACAAAGGACTGGATGAGCCAGGGGTCTAACCAGGCCTTCCAATTCGCAGACGACCCGCTCTACCTCCAGAGCTGCAACCATCCCTGATTGCAACGGTGTGATTGATCAGTGATGGTCCTGATGGTGGAACAACACAGCAATTATCAGATGTGTGTACTCTCTGCGGTTATGTATAATCAAGGTACAAGACCTCTGACATTAAAGAGTGCTGCTTATGATCCAAGGTGCTCAGCAGGCGGAAGGATTACAGATTATGCCATTGTAAAGTAGAAATACAAGTCATAAGTGCTACAGCTCTTTTTGTTATACTTTATTTAATTTTTTAGTAATCATTATCATGCCAGGATAATGAACTGATAACCAGCGGGACTGTTACTCAAATGATAAGGTGTGTGTGTGTGTGTGTGTGTGTGTGTCTGTGTGTGTGTGTGGGGGTCGGGTGAGAGACATTATGTCAATGAGAGTGGCTTTTCTGGGTTCCTGTGCTCTTTTTCATATTGCTCCTGTAAAACTACTTGCTTCACTGTAAAATAATGCTCTATGCCATACTGTGTATTGTAACATAATTGATGCACTATAATTGTTTTCAGGCTACTTATATCCTGACAGCAATGTTTAATATAATATTCAGCAATAAAAGCTTTGATTCCAGACATCTGTTATTATCCTTTTATTTCAATTTGGACCCCCTCTTGTTGGTATATGGGTTGTTTCATGGTCCTATCGACTAATTTGCAATTTAAATGTTTAGACTAAATTCGATTTTCATATTATAGAGCAAGATGGTTTTATCAAAATGTCAGCTCTAAGAAGTGGGAAGACTTGCCAAATCAGCAGGGCATTGCATTTAAAGTTTCCTCAGAGTTAATAATAAGGATTTTAATTTGTTTAACACGTTTTTTTTTTTTGTTTTTGTGAGTAATGCAAAATTATTAAAACTTGTGAAATACAAAATGCTGTGGCTTGGGAGGTAGTGCAGGTCATCTGGTCTACAAGTTTATGGATCTTCATGCAAGATACTGATCCCTGAGTGGGCCTGATGCACACTGGAGTGTGTGCTAATGTTAGTTTAAAAGTGCTTATGCATAGAAACAGTTTGCATGAATTGGTGAATGAGCCTTGTAATAAAGTGCTTTGAGTGCTCAGCACTTAATAAAGAACAGTTAATTTACCAAAAAGTGATTTTATTTATTTATTTATTTATTTTTTTTGGGAGGGGGGGGTAATTCTATAATTTTTGTAGTGGTTTGGTTTTTTGGGTTGTGTTTTTTTTTTTTTTTTTTTTTTAGTGCATACACTTAACAACCACTTGATTAGGTACACTTGCAGACTCTAATATGGCCAGTGATATAGTACAGCCTGAAATCTTCAGAGCTCATACCAATGACGTTGGCTTATTCATTTAGGTTTTTGTTGAGGTTGTCAGGAAAAGTAACCTGATTTCATGATTACTTGCATTACATTTAATTCAGTTCCTATGTTTGTTTGTTTGTTTGTTTGTTTGTTCTAATCCACTTCCCTAACATACAGGTACTCAAAGTAAAAAATCTAAATTTAAATGCTTTAAAAAATTTATGCTAAATCTATCTGGAAATCTGAAGGGTTATAGCAAGCATTGTTTTTAACATTTGACTATCATTGTTATTTATGCGCAGATTTTATTCATTTTCACTTTAGTAGGTTTTCACTAAATGCGAACTCGCTATTCATGTTCAATGTTTTATTTATTTTTGGCACACTCCGGCCTCCATACTTACTTTAACAAGTCATATTCAAAAGAAAACTCGTAACTCGTGTTTCCGGAGCTTTCCCAACGCAATAATTCATTTTCTCCCACAAGTGAAAAACAAAACGTTTCCTTAAGTTATCAGCAGCCCACCCCGCCCTCTTTTAAACTTCGCATTCCTCTAGGCCAATCAGAGTCGAGAAGGCGAAGTGCAAGAGAAAGTTGATTGGTTCATTTAAAAATAACATAAGCGCAACCACGCCATTTAAATGTTTTAAAAGTCGTGTGTTCCTCCTGTTGATCTGAAGTGTGGAATAGGAGAAAGGCGGATAAACTATACGCTTGGTCCACTGTATTTGTCGTTTTTTCAGGTGAGTAGTGAAATAAATGACACGTCTGAATGATGTAGACCGAGTTTGTGTTTTTTTTCTTTTGCTCCACTTTAAACGGTTAACGGTGCAGTCACGTGAAACTGCAACATTTAGCTAACATACGTAGATGTGAATATGGTTTCCAGCTCTGTAAATGTCATACAAATTGTCCATAGTGACAGATATAGTAGTAAAGTCGTGTTTAAGATGAGCTACGATTTTTTTGTATTTAAAAACTAACGTTAACTTTAAGTCACGAGCACTAATCTATCAGCTAATAAGCTAAAATACAATGTTTAACAACAGGTTATTTATGCCTTGTCAAGCATTCGTTTTTACCGTTGTGTGATTGTAAGAATGAAGAATACACCAAGAAACGAGCCTTTCAATGTATTGATGAATGAGAATAATACATAGTTTTATTGTATTTCATCTAAATATGTGTACATCTGTGTTTTGTATTTTTGCTGTGTTTTTATGTTATGAATAAATAAATGAATAGAACTCTGTTTACCTGAATGGCAGGTAACATTAAAAAAAGGATCATGGGATCAAGTGAGAGTAAGATGACTGCATCTGCAGCCATAAAACCAGAGCCAGCCTTCAAAAAGACTCACATCAGTCACCTCATCGATCCTCGCTCCCCCTCAGCTGACATAGAACGAACACCTATTCAGGTGGGTTACCTGGTGGATCCATTCATATATTTAAAAAAACAAAACACAAAGTCTGAAAAAAATGTACTGTCTGAACTCCAGAAAATGTGCAGTCATTTTTTTTTTTATTAAAGAAGGCATGAACATTTTTACTTTGATCTTGAGGCCCTCTGATCCAAACTCTCTTCTGTACTCACATTTCAAAGACTTTGAAAAGCTTCTTGTTTGATCAGTGTGATATGTCCAAACTATAGAAGGTGTGAGGGGAACAAATGAGACTTTTCACATGCGCTTATACTCCATCTTTCTCAGATGGTGTGGATGAGTCTAGAAAGTTCACCCAAAATCCACATTTTGAAGTTTTCTCCAGTAAAGTATCAGAAAACAGATCCAAGATATCATTGCTTGTCATTGATCCTTTGTGTAATAAACACAAAGCTGGTGCAGTTTAGCTGCTAAACTTGCATGTCACAACATGCAAGTTTAAAAAATTACCCTCTGATGGGGAATAGGTGGGAGGCACTGATAATTATTGACCCTGCTTTATTCTCTACACTACTTTTGTCAACTGTGGGGCAATCAAACATAAAATAATTGAATATTTTTGCAAGGTTGGACAGCTTGTGTCCAAAACGTCTGCTGAGATGAAAAGCGAATGCCCTGTGGTGTTCGGTGATCCACGTTCACCTACCATTGGCATTACCCGCACCCCTGTGAGAGAAGTTATGAGAGGTAAGTAATATATAAACGTAATAACTTTCAGCTTGACTTTTCTCACTTTATTGAAAAAAAAAAAAAAACAAATCTAAAAAAATGACTTCCTTTCATTCATCTTTCCAGCAACAGTCGGGTCCTTTGCTCGTCGCCTGGGTATGATTTTCCACAGTGAGGTTGAAGGGAAACTCCCCGAAGGCCATCAGAAAGGCTTCAGTGGCGCATCAAAGAAAGAGGAGGACTTTATAAGTGAAGAGCTGGCATCGACTGAGCCCCTCCTGAGCCCACAGCCGTCCAGCAACCTTAATGAGCATGCTAACTTACTGGTGCCACCTGTCCAGCCCCCTCTCCAGAGCGTAGAGAAATTGAGTCCTTTTGTGCTTCCTGAAGAGCCTCAGGTGGAGGTGGAGATAGAAACTGAAGCAGATATTAGCCTGGAGGAGGCTGAGGAAGCAAGAGAGTCTCCTCTTCACAAGAGACTGAGCATGAGCCTGATAACCTGCCACGAGGGCGCTCCCTCCCCCCGAGCCTTTGCAGAGGTCCATCATGAAAATATTTCATCCCCAGAACCTGGCACAGAGGTGGAGCCACTTGGGGATGGTGTGGATCACGCTTACGCCCTTCCTTCTGCTACCATTGAAGCAGACTCTCCTGTTGAACCGGCCCCCTCCAACACTGATGCTGATGATTCCCTTGCACAGCCAGAGAAGGAAGAAACTAAAGAGCTCGCTAAAGAAGCTAATTTGCTTCCATCCAGTCCACCATGTGTTCGTGGTCCTGAGCAGCCACAGGCTTGCACCGGCATCCGCTGCCCCACCTTTGACTCAAAGAGCCCCAGCCAGACTGTTTTCAAACCGCAGTGGCTGGGAAATGGCTTTCGTCCGTCTGGGCTCAGAGCAAGAGGAGTGCAGGGGCTCGGTGGAAAAGGAGGCTCGTCTCCTCTCGCCGTCCGTGTGGCCGTTAAGAACGTAGCCAACGAAAACAAAGGACAGTCTGGAAAACTGAAGCAGAAAGGTGTGTAGGAAGTTTGTCACCTTTTGATTGTTTATGGTGAGACTGTATTGCTTTTCCTTTTTTTTAAACTTTCTTTTTCTTCAGGTACTGAAGGCCGCTCTCCGCTGCAGATCCTGAAGAAGACCAACTCACCCAGAGACCAGCGCACTCAGGTATTTGTAGCTGTAATTTACCCACATATGGGCTCATGAAAGCAACATCTGTGTTTTTACTTGTCCAAAAACACAGGAAATTCACGTTTTGATTTCTTCCCAGATGAAGCTGAAGACGTCCACTCCCGAAAAGCAGAGGGCTGGACAGATGGACCGCCGAGTGCTGGCTGTGTGTCTGGATAAGGAGAACCGATGAGGCACTGCACGCACTGTTTTTAAAAATGTGCTTTTATGTGTATAGCTTCCACAAACTATTTGTTGTCCTGTATATATTTAACTGCTTGTTGTTGTGTAAATAAAATTTGCAAACCTACTAGAGCTTTAAATTTTTACTGATTAACTCTTATCTGTTATTTGGAGAGTTTTCTTGTTCGTTTTTGTGCGCATTTAATCTTCGTCAACACCTAAATTATATTCAGAAATAACACTTGAAATTTAATATTTCTCCAGTTTGCAAAGATTGCATAGCTCACATGTCATTGAACTGACAAAGCGTCCTTGGGCAATGGTGAACACTTCGTTGCCCTCACCTATCAGAGTGTGAGTGTAAAGTGTCTTTTCTATACCCAAGGCATGCTTTGAGTGAAGAAAAAGCACTATGTAGCTACCAGTTCATTCAGCAGGTTACCTTGATGTCTGCTGAGTTGCTGTCATGTGATTGGCTGTTTGACATTTGCACTAGCGAGCACTATAGCAGGTGTACCTAATAAAATCTTAGGAAAAACAGACATTTTAGCATTAATTAGATGTAGCCCTTTTTTTTTTTTTTTAAAGTTTTTACATTTATTCATTTTTACTTTTTTGTCACAAGGAAACAGCAGAAGAGAGAAGGGTGTGGAAAGAGTAACAGGAAATAAATAAACAGCACAGTAGTAAACAGTCTTTCTATACTCTAAATGTTTGACTTGCAGGCAGATCATGTGGCCAGCTGATGATCTGTTCTTGGAGGAGCAGCTCCTATTTATGGTCTTTTTACATGCAATATTCAAAAGGGAGGAATATCGTCATATTGAATCGTGCCACTAGGTATCAGTCCCAAAAGCGTCACTGGGATCCTTGAAAATATCACAACAAAATATGTCCTCTAAAGTGTTTAGTGTCAACATTAAAGTCCATTGGTATGCTCGTAGTTTTGTACATGAACTGCTGTTACTGCACACTTCTACACAGTTTGTCCAGGGGTATATTTGTATGATGTGTACCTTCAATCGCTCCATCATCTTCTGGTGAAATTCCCTTTTGAATCTCTGTATTATAATTAATGTATTATAACTTGATAGAGAACTTGTGTTTTGGAGATATTCACATGTACATGAGTATGGGCGGAGTTAAATCTGGATGATAAGATCATCTGTGAGTAATGCCATTATATGGTTCTCCTTAGCTATTAGTTCCTATGAGTCAAGGCCTCTGTGAATATTCCATAAAGGGGTGAGCTGAGGCAACAACCCTGCATCTGTCTGACAGGTGATCTTTATTCTAGCATTTTTACCTGAGGCTATATCATCCTCATTTTTTTAATGATTAAATTTAATTGATAATATGGGGATAAAAGAGGTTGGTCAAGGTGAAGGTTTTACAGTGTGGATGGGAGTGAGGGTGATTGAAGCAGTTTGCACTTTCAACTCACAGTAAGAGGTTTCCTGGTTTGAGCTCCAACTGGTGGATCTCTATGTGGGGGTTGCTTGCTCTTCCTGCGTCTGTGTGTGCTTCCTCTGGGTTCTCCTGGCTTCCTCCCACAGTCCAAAGACATATATGTTAGGTTAGTTGGTGTTTTTAAATTAGCCGGACGCAATATGTGAGATAGATGAAGAGCAGATTTTTAAACATCTGCTCATTTATAAAATCAATCAGGGTTTGTTTAGCATGCAGCTGTGTGTAAAAAGCCTGCAAGGCTTCACATCTGAGCTTGTTAAATGCACAAAGAGCCTGTTTATCCTTAAGAGAAACTACATTCTTATGCTTTTGTCTAGACGACTCAAGTCACGCTACAAATAAATGCTCACATTTTCTCTACAGTGAAATCAAAGAAAACAGAAGCGTGGCTGACATTTCACATGCTTCACTCGTATCTAGAAGGATTTGAATGCCAGAAATAAACATTTAGACTTGTGTAATGCAGATCTTTATTAGATAGTGCTGCTTCACTTTGTACAGTGTGTATCCACTCTGGAAAAGAGCCCGTTTAAATTAGAGTTAGATTGTTTTTTTCATTTTTATATACACAACCTGTCCTTCAAGTTTAAAGGTTTGCATGCAGAGGAAAAGTAAGCACTTATATACACATTCAGATGTACTACTCATAAGCACGGCAGCCATTACCATCCATGTACCACTCATACAAAGAGTCCTGTCCTGAGACAAATGGGTCATCTTTTTATGTAAGTGCTTAGCGAAGCATGAAAATCATTTTATTATCCCATCTGTCAGTTCAGCAGTTTACCCAAAGGACTTTTCAGGTCTAGCTACCGAGGGGTTAGGCCGAGTGATGAGACCCGAAATCCTGGTAAATATTGTCCATCGATCACATACAAAAACACACGCTAATGCAGACATCTGCAAGCTAGAACTCCATTTTAACTAAAGTTAAGAAAATGAACAGGAAGTAAATGTAAGCATCTAGAGAATCTACCAAAACTAACAACAAACAACAGTCTGAAACAATAAAGCTCATATTATTTATATGATTTAACTTATGCTATGATAGAAATCACAGCATGTTAGTAAGTTACCCAACACAACATATGCTTCGGCTGGACGTATTCAATTCTATCTCATCCTGTGTGCTACCGTTTCCATTTGGCAACTGTTCTCAAATTGCTGTAATTAATGTGCATCCATGTGAACCACAGTAGAATTAACTACTGATGGGAATGACATTTGCTCAGACCCCCGAACCCAGAATTCCCCCATAACGTGAGAAGAAAGTTTGGAGCGCAACGTGATGGAGAGGAGAGAAAATCTTCACATTACAACCCCGCTCCACCGTTAGATAGGACTTGGCACAATTTGACATACCCTCTTCTCACCCCATGTGACTCCTCATCCCCTCCCACAGACCTCAATTTCTTTATATTTTCTTCACTTCACTAAGTGCTCTCTTTGCAATGAACAGCCTCAGTTCCAGATCTTGAGGAAGCTGTCCCAGGATCCCGTGCAGCACGCCATGCCATCCGTGGATACTCCGATGCAGCTCACTCTGTTGTCGTGACCAGCCAGCACACCTGAACAGCAGCAAGCAGGGAAATAAATGAGACAAAGGGTCAAACATTTTGAAATAAACTTCCAATTCAGATTTATCTCCCAGTTTTTTCTTTTAGTTCACTTATGTGCAAAACTAAACTTTACAAGGAAATGTAACTAAAAGAATATTGTGTGCTTGTAAAACTAATAATAGACGGAAAAAGTAGTTTTAGTCTTTCTTGTTTGGTCAGATTTGTCCAGCAGCATTAAGAGGAGTTGGTGCAAATATTTATTGTCCCTGGGGTGTATATGGGACTGTGTGTCAGGTGTTTGTGTTGCATTATATTACTGTATTGAAACCACAATGACAGAAAGAAGAGAGCAAACTCACTCTGGAAACTAAGTGAAAGGAATATAGCAGAAAAAAGATGGAGGAAAAAAAAGTCGAATAACTCGGTTCCTCACCGACTCTCTCGGCTTTGAGCGAGTCCCAGATGTTGACGTTGAAGTCGTCGTAGCCAGCCAGTATCAGGCGTCCAGACAGGGAGGGGGCCAGAGAGGTCACCCCGCACATGATGCTGCTGTCCTGGTAGGTGATGAGCTCCTGGTCAGCTCGCATGTCGTACATCTTGCAGGTGGCGTCATCTGATCCTGTTATCACTGCATTACCGTTGGGGAAGAACTGGAGGAAATAGAAGTGGTTAGAAAGCGTGCCTCCTTGGACAGGACGCGCTGAGAGCTTTGCGCACAATGGAAAAGGAAATCTTTTTTTCCCCCTTTGTTCTCACCCCAATGGCGTTGATGTCACTCTCGTGACCTCCAAAGGTCTGTCTGCAGGTGCCCTCCCTGATGTCCCACAGCTTAGCTGTGAAGTCACAAGCCCCTGAGATGAAAAACTTGAAGTCTGGGGACACGCCGAGGGACATGCAGTCTCCCTGGTGTCCGGCAAACACAGTCTTCTGGGTCCCCGTCTCAATGTCCCATAGTACGCTAGAAAGGCAAGTTTAATTCAATTTAAAGTGCAAAAGAATCAATTCAAGCTTTCTTTTGTTCAGTAAATCGAACTATATTCTTACCAAGTGCAGTCGCCTGAGCTGGTGATGATCTCAGTGTCGCTGAGGAAACGACAGCAGGACAGGTAACCTGTACAACCACAGAAATACCACATGGGGCACCGCAGGACTCATCACAAAGGAGCGTTTAATTTCTGTTTCTTGTCACCTTCCTACCTGTGTGCGCTGCCAGCTCTCTCATGACCTTGACATTCCCATCCTTGCCTTTCAGGTTGTAGATGGAGCACATGTTGTCCAGACCGCCACACGCCACAAGGTTTCCAGAAGGTGCATAGGCACAGGTCATCACCCACGATGACTTGAGGGGGATGGCATTCACCTAGGTGTACACAGAGGACAGGAGAGCTTGTTTTCAGCCTCTGAATTTACTGTCGTATATTTAGTTGTCTCACGATGGAAATTTAGATCCTGTAACTTTTAAAGGTGTGTGCTTAAGTCTTAATGTTTGAGCGAGAGATGCTCAAGGCACAGTGAGAAGTACCTTGTGTATTTTGGTGTGTTTGAGAGTGAATACACCCTGCACGGTTTACAACCACGTTTACTTTGGGTTTAGGTATAGCTGGAAACAAAAATTCCTATTACCGGAATTGTAATAGACCTGCCCTTTGGCCTCTCCTACCTTGTTGGTCGTGATGGTGTCCCACACTATGAGTTTTCCATCCTGCGAGGCACTGACACACAGCCTGGGGGAGAAATGTGGATTAAAATCAGCAAAAAACCCCAAAACACGTGAAGCAGAGGCTTTAACATTAAGAATATGCTCCCCCCTATCAATTTACTCAGTTTAAAGCAAATCTAATTTACCATCTCCCTTCTGCATATCTGGACTTTTCTCACTTTCCTCACAATTATTTAGAAAATTATTAGAAAACTATCATATCTTGGCTGCAACACAAACAAAAAAGCAGGTGTTCTTTCAATTTGTGCAGCATGTTGGGTAATTACTTTGAATCTGTGGACCAGTGCATTGCATAGATCTTGGCAAGATGACCCCTTAGTGTTTTCCTGGTCTTCATCTGGACACGCCCCATCACTGTGATCCCAGCTACTGCCTCCTGCAGTGTGGTATCCTGCACCGCCTTGCGAGCTGCCTGCAGAGCACACACACACAAAGTGCCGTCAGGAATAATATGTGAACAGACGTCAGACAGAACAGTATGTGTATTATGCTGGATCTACCACAGATGATATATTGTGGCCAACTTACGGTAATCTGGTCTTTGAGACTATCTGCCTCCTTTCGAAGTTGCTCCATTTCACCCATGGCGATCAATCAATAGTGGGCTGTAGAGAAGATGTCAGAAGAGGCCGTAGTCCTGGGAATAAGAAGGAGAGTTCCGGTGAAGCAGCATGAACAAAACTCAGTCACCAAGAAATCATAAAATCTTTGCCAAGTCACCCGCGCTATCCTTCCATCCCAGAATTTTACCTGCATTTACCTGTTAACCTCCCTACTGCAGGTCTCCAGGTAAGTGCTGCTTTGCAAGTCAAACCACCCCCATCTGCTTTGCAAACTTTTTCTAACTTTGCAGGAACATACAGAGAAACCCACAAGACACACCTACACTCAGACACGCACGCACAGGCAGACCGTATGAATATTCACCCAGTTAAAGTTTGCTCTTCAGACGATGTGAGAGCAAAGATCCTCACCCTCAATGTACACACAAACCAGTATGTCCTGTAATGATGCGTATCAGCTCTCACTCGCTGCCTCTCAGCTTCACGGCAAATTCACAACACTTGTAGAGGAATTTGTGCCATTTAACACTCCAGCTGAGCTCTCATCTGCTGCTGATGGCTATTAAATTTGCTAATGTGATGATTAAATGAGCAATGTTTAGCGGTACAACCAATCGCCTAATGGTCAGACTCATAAAGTGTGACAAATGTAATCAACGCACAACTGAAGAGGCAGCCAGAAAGTCAGAAAGTGGCACAGAGAAGTTCAGATGGAAAAGCACGGCGTTAATTTCTCAGGTGAAGCACCACAATATAAGCAAACTTTTAAAAGAAAACACACCCTTTTCAGTTTCTTGTACAAATATTAAAAGTTACGTCTTTTTCTTTCTAAAGCAATCAGTTTTCATGATGCCATTTCCTTTATCTTACCTTAAAAAGTGACAGGAGGGAATACTTGCGCTGATTTTACCGTTTGCGTCCCTGCAGCAATCTCTCGCTTTCTCTCCCCTCTACTATTTGAATGAGTGTCCCTGTCAAAACACATGACCAAGTGGATTTGCCTCTAATTTGTTTGAAGTGAAAAGGAGAGGAAGGGAAAGGAGGGAGTGACTCTGTAAAAGAAAGAGATTTGATTTAATTGTTTGCCACTGGGCTTTATGTGTAAAGCTAAAGTAAATGGATGATGGCCTGATGCGGCGCTCCAAAAACACACACCAGCCGCAGCAGCTACACTTTGGGTGTAGCTTTCTTAAACTGCTTACTGATACGTCGTCCCTGAAGTTTCTGAACCAAGGGGGATTTTAAAGCCTTTGCTCCAGATGTGGAAATTGCTCCAGTAATGAGCGTTTTAATGACGCTTGAGTGTTTTAGTCGTGCTATTACCCTTTTGCCATTGTGTTCCTGGGACCCTGCCATTGTTCCGTGTGATTAAATGACTGCTAGGTTGGTGGGATGGTGGAGTGCATTAACACAAACAGAGGGAGAAGTGGAGGCAGAGGGAGGGGAGGCAGGGGGTTGAAATAAGGGGGGGGTGAAGGGTAAGAGGTGAGGCAGGAGAGTGAGTTTTAAATCCTACTGGCTGAGATTTTAAGGGATGCCTTTTGAATCAAATCTGCTCTCATCCGATTACTGACTGCTCTTTGCATCTGGATAAGAGATGGAGAAAGGGATGGGGCGGCAGATAGGGGCATGAGAATGAGGTAGGGGGCAGATGGAGGAGGTGGGCAGAGGGAGAGCTGGTGAAAGGTGGGGCAGGGCCCATCAGTATGGCCAGTGATTCGACTTTGAATCAGAGAGCTCCTCAAACAGTTTCCCTCTTATATTCTTGAAGGGGATGTTAAGAAGTTGTTAAATGGCAGCGAATTATTAGTTTATGTGAAATAACATTTATGTCACTATTAAGCTGTTTTCATTGGCTTTAATTAAACCGTAACACTCAGTTCGCATCACAGTGAAAATGTCTTCCTGACTTCAGCCAAAGCACCTCTCCCTTCTCCACCAACAGTGTATATGACTTCTTGTAAAAGGCACACTGTAACAGATCATTTTTTCACGTTGCATAAATACCATCGACCACTTCTCCAACTCTTAAAACTTCAAACAGCCGATGCTTTGATTCTTAAGTTTACACGGAAAATAATAACTGGAATAACTTTACGCAGCTCTGTCATGCAGATTATGTCCGATTGCATTAAGAGTCAGACCACGAAAGGAGTTTGTTTTTTATTCAGATTATCAGAGCATACAATTAAATCACTATTGTATGCTGATCCCGTGCAAATCCCTCATCTGCATGTGCTGTAAGCAAAAGATGAAACGCAGCTAAAGACATCGGGTGTGTATCAGTATTAATGTGACATCTCCATACTCCATATTTAATCAGACTGTTTTAATAATCAGCAGGTTTCCAGCTTGAGAAGAACTCTTACACTTCTTTTCTGAAGTGTAGGAATCACAACACTCAAAACAACATTTAAAAACGTCACAAATATGGACACATTTTTAAAAGATATCAGCCGGAAATGTGTTCAGGTCCGTTTTGTATGACCCTTGATGCCCATGAAGCATGACACCGCAGCATATCCACAAAACTGAAAAATGAAAACATCAATGTCTGCTGAAAGGAACACATGACTATCCACTTACCAATCGGAGACTGCTATCGAGGTGTTCTGGTAGATCTTCAATCCCTCTTCCTGCAGCGGCCTCTCTCAGGTTGCTGTCATAAGTTCAGCCTGTCTGTTCCTACTCTTTCCTCCACTCATTCGCTTTTGGTATCGCGGACAGTGCGGTATTCCTCACTTGCCTCACTGCTCCTATGAGGAACAAATGAGGATTGGAGGGATGAAGGGAGATCAGCAATGAGGGGATAAACCCTGGGATGGAAGAGTAAGGGGGAGGGGGGGTGATGGTGAAATAGACAGAAAGGGAGAAGAAACAGTGGGTGAAACCAAACAAGGTGCAGAGCATGTCTGTAGGGTCACAAGACATGAGCCGGGGTGAATCCAAGTCAAAAGACTAAGAGATGGAAATCGTGGAGGGGAGGGAGAAGAGGATAAATAGAGGACCTGGGAACATGGCTTTTTATGGTGCTGAGATAGTTTTCAAAAGATCTATGACTGACAGGAGGGTTTGTGTTTTGTAAACCTGAGGTGAAGCTAATATTAGAAAGTGTATGGGCAGAGGGGGAGATTGGCAGTGTAGGGATCCGACTGGCTACAATGATAAAGCAAGAATAGCTGCAGGATTAAGGTGAATGGATGATTCTTACACACAAGCAGACCAACAACCATGGGCATTTCCTGACAGTGTGTAGAGCGTGCGCCACTATAGCTGTCTCCTATGTTCTTTGTCATCTAAAGGTAGAGATAAAGAGCCACAATATCCCTTTGGTTTGCTCGAGTTCTGCCCACACATCTAAATTTAGAGGTTTCTGTTGTCACTCGTCTGTTGATGTGCCACTCCACAGCTTTTGCACATTATCTAACAGAGTAAATCACCTGTGTTAGTTACGAAACAACGCAGCTTGCACTCACGATCATGACATTGCATTGTTAGGCAGAGAGCCGGATCGACGAGAACAGACTGCGTTTGACCCAAAAGGCCTGGGAGAAAGTCACCGAATCAGGTGCTGAATCCCAACTGCATTGTTAAAGGGAGCTCCCATTCCTTTCTCCCACTGAGGTTTTCACATGGATCAGGAGAGTCACTTTATTGAGAGTTACTTTCTGTAGCTGAAGTATGTTCATGAAAAATGTATGGCAGAGCTATTGTACTGCAGTGTCTGTAACTTCTCCTTGAAATTTGTGTCAAATACCGAGTGTCCTCTGAACAAGAAGAACACATTCAAATCCTAAACTAGTCCTAAAACAAATTTGCTTAGGGGTGTTTACAAGTACACAGTGACAACATGCAAAACATCCCAGTCTAAGACCTTGTTTAATGCTCTTTCTCTAAAACACACTTCACTTAGTTGCAAAGAATAATTAGAAAATCTAACATAAAATCCTGCCCATGAAGAAATTAAATCCTACTTGTTCCAATATAGAACAAGTAGCCCAGATATCACATTGCTACTTTCCAGGCAAACCCTTGTTGACACAGATTCGGACAGTTGAACGCCATCAGACAATACGAATCCCTTGTTTGCACATTTGTGAACATATCTGTGTTTGGAGCAGAAAAGCCTTTGCTGTGTGCTTCCTGGCTTCATTCTGTGATTCAGCGCGGCTAAATTGAGCTCTGCAGTTTAAAAGCGTTGACCTTTGCTCGCTGGATTGTGGTAACGGCAGTGGTGCTGACCCTTGATTTGGAGAAATGGAGTCAGGGAAGCACAGGCTGTGAAACGGCGAGTGAAACAGAGAGAAAAAACAAAGAGCAAAACAAGGGATTTGTTAGCAGAGGCACAGAAACAGGGCGGGATAAAGACAGAAAGAGTGTCCGATTATGGGTTACTATTTAAAGACTAACAATGCCGCGCTCTACGACAAGGAAAACTCTCAAAGTGGTTTGTAAAGTCTTATAATCTTCTATGATTTTATTACATTTACTACTGATGTTAAACCGACTGAACTGAAAGCAGAAAAGGTGAGCATCCCTCCCCGAGTGAGATGAAAATTTCACTGCACTCGGTCCCTGCACAGCACAATAAAAACAAGAAGAGGAGAGTTTGTTTTGTTTACTTTGCACACGCTGAAAGAGATCTCTGAACATTTGATCTGTGGGAGGAGTGAGTGGATTAAATGACAAATGTGTCAGACACAAACATGTTGTTAGACTGTTGATGTTTATATAACTCATTATGGTCTAGACGACCCTTACTGAAGTTCAAACCCAGTATCAAAATGGAGCAGAAAGCTGATTTAAATGACTTTGAGCACGGCATAGTTGTTGGTGCTACAAAGTAGATCATCAGTCACTTCTGCTGGCTAAGAACAGAAAACCAAGACTACAATTCACATAGGATCACCAAAATTAGACAACGGGAAATTAAAAAAGCATTGCTTGGTTTGATGAGTCCCAATTTCTGCTGTGGTGTTTGAGTGGTGGGGTCAAAATTTGACACAACACGAAAGCATTGTTTCATTCTGCCTTGTAACAGCTGCTCAGGCTGCTGGTGGTGTAACAGTGTGTGTGTGTGTGTGTGTGTGGGGGGACTTTATTACCAGGTGTGGATCACTGAAACACCACAGCCAACTTGTGAACTGTTCCTGACCATATCCTTCCCTTTATAATGTGCCATTTTGCTCAAATCATCACAAACTGGTTTCTTGACAATGAGTTCACTTGTACTCAAATAGCCTCCACAATCACCAGATCTCAGTCCCATAGAGCACCTTTGGGATGTGGTGGAACAGGAGATTTGCATCATGGATTTGCAGCTAACAAATCTGTAGCAATGGTGTGATGCTATTATGTGAATATGGTGAAAAATATCTGAGGAATGTTTTCAGCATCTTGTTGAATCTGTGCCGTGAAGCATTAAGACGGCTCTAAAGGTGAAAGAGGATCCAACCCGATACTAGCAAGATGAACTTGAAAATGAAATAGCAAGTGAGTGGGTGTATATTCACCTTGCATATGTTCCCAAGCAATATCTGTGCACTCTCAGCAGGCGGTTTGTGCTTAGACAAAAACATCTGTCAATCAGGTGTGGGTATAATTTGACTGATAATTCAAGGTTTTACTGTTTACATTAAAATGACGAGCATTCGTTTTTCTGACAAGTTTCTTTCAGTATTCGTGTGTAAACTGGCAGTGTTTTGATGCAGAGATTAGCAGACGAGGTCGTCTCACAGCAACAAGGTTCTGGGTTCAACTCAAAGTTGATTTTCTGAGCCGTCTGCAGGGGAGTCGAGGAGAAAAAATCTCCTTCCACTTTCCAAGCAAACT